TTTGAGGCCATCTGTGGGAGACCAGCTCCCACATTTATTTACCCCAGGGACTCTTGAAAAAAATGAGGAATAAGAGACTTGGGTAGAAATAAAGAGGGGAGAGAAACAGAAAATACAGGATAGTCTGGGGTGGGCCTGGATCACAGAACTTTATTCCAAAGGGCTATTTATAACAATGCCAAGAGGAGGGGCAAAGAACCTCCCCCTTGCTAGTTACAGCCAAGTGTAGACCCTTCCAAACACCTGGTACTCAGGCCCATGATCCAGTTAACCTCTAATGCAGTCCTGCTGGGTACAGCCACTAGGAAACCTAAATGGGCTCCAACAGCCAGCTAGCCTGGAACATGCTGTTTGGGGTGCAGAAACAAGAGAAACCTTGCACAAAACAAGGCAGAAAGACAGAACCAACTCCCAAAAAGTTGTTCACTGACTTCTATATATGTCATAGTATGTGCAAGCCAGAGCTCTTGTGCACATACATAAACACTCATATACACAAAATTGAATATTTTTAATTAAAAATAAAACTTGAAGCCAAAACACGGATTATCACACATGAAAAGAACTCTTTCCCTTTAATTCAAGTTTCCAAGGGGAAAGTCAGACAGGTAACCTCAAATTGCCAACCTGCATTTGGGACCAAGAGGCATGTGTTGAGTATCCTGGTTGGGAGGGCGTCTGCAGAACACAGCCATGCTTCCAGGGTAAACCTCCAAACGATGCCAACAGTACAGAGAATGCATGATAATCTTACTCCTGACACCATCTCTAATGATATCAGGAGTGACTGAGAAGGGCTGCTCTGGGATTCTCTTCTCTACAGTCAGCATACCCACTAGAATTACTCCGCACAGAGCATAGGGCCTCTGGAAACTCTCAGAGCGAGGAGAGCACCAGGCTTTGCCATCAACAGCTTGCTGTCAGGGCCTCTAGCTAACATTCTCCATTTGTCTTACAGTTTTCCATGCATTCTTTTGTTGTTGTTAGTTTGTTTGGCTTTTGTTTTGTTTTTGTTTTGTGTCACGGTCTCCCTTAGCCTCCTAAGTATTATGATTATAAATATGTGACACTATTCCTGGCGCCATACATTCTTAAACATCTTAAGGGTCCTTGCAACATCAGAGCTTGTGAGGAGGATAGTGCTAGCCTGCTCCTGGGAATCCTGTCTTTCTCCATCTATTGGGAGAATGCAAGAGCTGAGCTCAGAGCAGAGACCAGACATGGGCAGATACAGCTTACAGCTGAGACTCATCTCCTCCACGGTCGGTGACTACAGAAATTTAAAGCCCTTGTGTGGAGGCAAAAGCAAGAAAGTGATCACGCAGCAAAGACAAATGCTCCAGTCCCAAAAGGAAGCCTGCCTGCAGGTGTTGACCCCTCAGCAGAGGGTAGAGACACCAAGTTTAGTTCTCCCAACACTTCCCAGAAACGTGTGTTCTTCTTTCCCCTCCCCAGACTCCATCCTTGCACCCCCTCAGCGCACCTGCGTCCTGCGGTTGACCTTGACAAACACCGGGCCAGTGTCGGTGTCGTAGGCACAGCCTTCGCTGATGCAGCCGGCCCCGGAGCGTCCAAAGGCCCGCAGTGTTTTGGTGTGCAGCTCGGCGCGCAGCAGCTGCTCCATGGAGACTAGAGGACCAGAATGCGGGAGATGACACAGAGGAGGAACCCTGGGTACCAGAAGGAAACACGCTGTTGGAAACACGCAGTTCAGGGCGAGTTGGGGGGCGCTGCCGCTGCCCGGCGGCCACAACAAGATCTGGACTCAGTGACGCAGCCTACTGGCTCCTAGCGGCCACTCGGGTGCGCACTATCCCTGCATGTTCCTGGTGCGCCAGGCATGCGGTGGGAGGGGGAGGGGGAAATTGGGCCAGACAGCTATTTCTCACTCCAAGACAATCTCTACCCAACGTAGCGGGGATGCAAAGGCTCTCGAAGCTCTCCTACTAGACTCATTCCGGAATTTCTATTCCAGCTTGACTCACCCCAGAGGAGCAGGACTCCAGACCTGGTCCTGGGTGTTCTGTAAAGCCTGGGAGACAGAAAGGAAGTGACCATGTGTCCTCACAGCATGAATGTGAAGTCCCAGCACATCTGCACCCATCTGGGATCCACCCTAGGCCTTGTGTTCCCTGCACAATTGGGCAGATCAGGAGTGCCCACAGGAAGATTTGGGCCAGAGCTTCTTTATCTTTGCAACACAAGGCACAGCCTAGAGACTCAGCTATCCTGCGGAGAGGTTATAAGCTTAGCTAGGCTCCCTCTGTCCAGATTAGGGTGGAGTACCAGCCAAGGGGGTGCCCTAGTTAGGCCCCAGTGGCACCTTTAATGCCACAGGGCTGGGTGATAAAAGCTGCTCTGGGGGCTGTGATAGCAGCAGCCCACCCCACCCAGGGTAGGTGGGACTCTGGACAGCCATGATAGGAAAAAGTTTCAAGACATATATGCTCATGTATACATAGGCACACACACATGTATGCAAGAACACATTCACAGACTGGTATAGAGGACAGTCTTGTGCTGAGGTAGCCCTCAAGCGTTTTAGGAGAGATTGCCTCAAATCCCAGCCCCCACCATGAGCTGCTCGTGCCACTCCTGTACTATAATGTCTCCTGCTGACTATAATGGGACTAGGAAGATTAGTGGGGTGAATGACCCATTGCTGAGCTTTCAGTATGTGCTAGGGCACAAATAAATGTCAGCTAAGTTCACAACTATCCTTTGAGAGGATCTTATAATTAGTTCCCACTTTCTCTATGAAGAAACTGAACCATAGAGGAGTTAACTTACACAGGACCCAGTGCTGGGACCCAGCTCAGAATATTTGGAACTGAATCTGACTTTGGGTTCTGAATCCTAGTCTCAGATCCCTAGTGGGACAAGACTCTTCCCAGGATGTGTCATGGAAAGCTTGACTACACCACGCTGCACAGTGTTTCCATCTTGGCCTGCCAGCTTACACTTCCATAACTCTTTCCCCTATGGGACACCCTCATATTAAGGGTGAAGCTACTGTGAAGATGGAGATGATATATATGGGGCTGCAATCAAGCCTATTATCTTAGGAGCTCTAGCAGTCTCAGAGGGGCAAAACTTGTCCGTTCTAGCTATCCCTGTAGTCCTTGTGGTCTGTCCCCGGCTCTAAATTGAGATCGGGTTCCCTGAGGCTCTTTAATAATTCCTGTATCTGGCACCTCTGTGGGATGATTGGAATGTGGGCTCAGCAGACACTATCAGCCAAGGTACGTTGATATGGCCTCCTAATATGGCTTGAGCATTCCCAATCATGGTGGCCAGAGTGGGCACCAGAGCCAGGGTTCTACCCCAAGGGCTTTCTCTAACCTGGTTCTAAAGCCAAGCACCATTTCCCTGCCTTCCCTCTGTGCTGGGTCTTACACAGCTCCAGGGACTGACCTAATTGGGGTGGTGAGGAAATGAAGAAAAGACAGACAAATGGACACACAGAAAAGCTGGAATATAGTAGACTGGGCTCTCTGATGGAAAAGCTTCAGCATCCCAGAATCTCAGTATGTTCATCATTTACAGCTGAACAAGCAGGCAGGGTTTGTGGTATATAGCTAAATCAAGGGGGCAAGCTTAACTAATCTCAGTAGGAGCAGTCTCTGTAGGGGAGCAGTCTTCAGGCTGTATATATCTGAGAGGAAAGAGCTATGGCGGACATTTTCTGCATGGACTATCAACATTCACACTCAGAACATAGGAAAGCCTTGTCGTTTCTCTGAGCTTCACCTGGAGGAAAGACTTTGCCAGATTTTCATAGGTCTGGGGCTTTGGTGTTGATCTTGCAGGCTCATGTAAGAAACACAAACTCACACAGGCCTCCTCTGCTCCCCACACTACTGGTTATGATCCTTCAAGGCCATACCAAGTAAATGGACTTGACAGTGTGGAAAGGTCACTACAAAAGAACAGCTAGAACAGCCATCTGTAGGAAATGTAACTGGTGTCTCCATTTGAGGCCCGTCCTACCACTGCACCTTGACATAAAGCATTGAGAACAGTACAATCAGAAAGTTCTTGGTTATTGGCTGACACACTGACTGTGTATGGAATTTCAGGTTGGTCAGACCATTCTCTTTCAGACTAAGAAGGCTCCATTGCTTGCCAGCTCCTTGTTGGGAGGTTTGAGGCATTTTGATTCTTCATAGGATCTGTCCTTCCTATGGAGGTTTCTAGTCTATTCTGTGTAACCAGTGTCTAAAAATCCCAGGGATGTATTTCAGGCGAATCTGTCATCAATCTCTGGACAGACTTCCAGGTTATCTCAAAAGGAAAGCCTGTCCTCTCATGGCCCCTTGAACTTTCCTTCACACAAGTCATGACAGACTATAATTACAATGAGAAGCACACAGAAAGAACCTGTGAGAACAGGACACAACTGGATAGGGAGGGTTAATAAGAGCCACTAACAATTCAGAGGCAAGACAGTTGGGATACTAAGTCTCTTCAAATACTAATAGGGTCAATTTTACAGGTGTGAAAGACAATATTGTAAACAAAAACAAAAAGCAAACTGGAGAGGAGGTAAGGAGAGGGCTGAGGAGAAGCAGGAATTCAAGGCTAACCTAGGCTACATGAGACCCTATGGTGGTTTGAATGAAAATGTCCTCCTTAGCTCAGATGTTCAAATACACGGTCCCTAGTTGGTAGTGCTATTTGGGCAGGCTTGGAGGTGTGGCCCGGCTAGAGGAAGTAAGTCACTGTGGGTGGGATTTGAGGTTTCAAAGCTGCAGGTCATTCTAGGTTTACTGTCTGTGTTTTGTGCTTACAGTTTGAGATGTGAGCTCTCAGCTCCAGCTCGAGTCACCAAGTCTGTCACCATTATATCACACCAACAGAAAAATAACTAATACAGTCCCCTTTCAAAACAGGAAGAAACAATAGCTGTACCTATTTATTGTCACAATATAGCATTACAATATTTTCTGGCAAACAGCTAAGATAAATGAGTACATAAATGTGGAAATAAGTCTCAGGCATCACTGAAACAACTGCAATTTTATTCAAATTTTTAGGCAAAAAGATTTATCAACATCAATGTCATTCATGAAATTTTCTATTTCTACAATGTTGAAAACAGAAAAAAAAATTAACACAGATGCTCATATGTTGCAAGGAAATGACAACTTTAGAAAACAGCACAAAGCAGGGTGGTGGTGGTGGTGGTGGTGGTGAGGGTGGTGGTGGTGGTGGTGAGGGGGGTGGTGGTAGTGGTGGTAGTGGTGATGCACACCTTTAATCCCAGCACTTGGGAGGTAGAGGCAGGAGGATCTCTAAGTTTGAGGCCAGCCTGGTCTACAGAGTGAGTTCCAGGACAGCCAGGGCTACACAGAGAAACCCTGTCTTGAAAACCAAAAAAAAAAAAAAAAAAAAAACAAGAACAAGAAAAAGAAAAGAAAACAGCACAAAGCTGGCATAACAGGAATGTTTCCAGGCTCCTAAACTGAGCCAAGTTACCCTAAGGTTGGTAGCTTGATCAGTCCCCAAACCAATCTCCAGACCTGCTCAGCTTGTAGCAGGGTTCAGAAGCACTATACAAGCAAAGGGAATATCATTGATTTTAGAGTTGGTCATTACTCAAATCTTCTAACAAGATGACTTCACGTCTAGATCAAACCATCACAAAGCATCATTGTGAACAGCGCAGAAATGATAATAGACAAGAAGGAAGCGATGGGAGAAGGGCACAGTGGACACCAGCCACCACACCAACACAGTCACTCACAGTTCTTTACCTTTGCAGTGGAGTGTGGCTCACTATACCTAAACTTCATAAGTCTCTGTTCATATCACCAGGGAGGCCTAATCTAGCCAGTTTTACAGCGTACACAACTTCAGAATTGTATAATCTTTCCTCTGAAATAACCCATACTTTACAAAGCTGAGAAACAAAACATCAAAGGATCTTAAGCAAATCCAGCCATGGAGTAAATGGGAAGAATTCGTGAGGGAAAGGACTGTAGCAAATCATGAGCTCCTTGACCAAATAGTTGGAATCTGACCACCTGACTCTGAGGCACTTCCTTCAGTTCACAGTGATGCTTTGATGGTAAGACTTGATCTAGACATGGAGTCATCTTATTAGAAGATCCATCACACTCATAAGAGACTCTGCCCTCTGGCCAGTTCATTTGCTGAGATTCCTCATTATGTTTAGAGAGGATCCTCTGTACCCAGATCCAAAATGATTCCAGTGGTTCAGATAGTGAAAGAGCTGATACAGCTGCAAGCGCTTCTCAAATCCTGGGGTTTTAGGGATTTTACTGTGGTAGGCAGAGTAAAAGGAGCTACTGAAGCCCCCAAACATGCCGGCTATTGCCAGCTCATATTCTGAGTGGCCGTAGAAGGAAGCTGGATCGAAAATGATGGGCCCAGAGGAATCTTCTGCTACATTCCCTCCCCAGAGGTCTCCGTGAAGTAAGGAGGGCACAATTTCCAGATTATGGAACAGGTCAGGAATCTTCAACTGCAAGGAGAAAGATGGAACCTTAAACAAAGTGGTCAACGAATATGAAGGTATAAATGTTTTCCTAAGTGCTGTTCCACATATCTGAGCAGGTACTCAGATGTGCCCGACTGAGAGAGAGCAGATGGGACACTGTGGTAAGAAGCAGACTCAGATGCTACCCCTGCTTTGGTGCCTCCCCTGTATCAGGGCTCAGTGGGGCATATGGTTGGCACTGGGCATACAGCAGAGTCCCTTGCTCACCTGCAGAGCAGACCACAGCTCAAGAGCTTCCCGGTCTCCAGACCTCTTCTCCACCATGTCCATCTGGGGCTGAATGCGCTGCCTGGCATAGAATGTGACCCAATCCTTCTGCCAGTCATTTACCTGCACAGGAGACAGTAAAGGAGAAAGCAGACTGTCTTAGTCAGGGTTTCTATTGCTGTGATGAAACACCATGACCAAAAAACAAGTTGGGGAGGAAAGGGTTTATTAGGCTTACACTTCAGCATTGCGGTTCATCACTGAAAGAAGTCAGGACAAGAACTCAAATAGGACAGGATCCCAGAGGCAGGAGTTGATGCAGAGGGCATGGAGGGGAGCTGCTTACTGGCTTGCTTAGCTCACCTTCTTATAGAACCCAGGACCAACAGCCCAGGAATGGCACCACCCACAATGGGCATTGATCATTAAATGAGAAAAGGCCTTACAGCTGGATCTCATGGAGGCATTTCCTCAACTGAGGCTCCTTCCTCTGATGACTCTAGTGTGTGTCAAGTTGATACACAAAACCAGCCAGTACACAAACTTTATCAGAAAACTCCAGGACTGAAGGAGACTTGAGTGCCCAGTCATCCCAAAGTAGAATGGGCTGCAGGAAGCATGAAGAGAGGTAGCAGCCACAGGAGGCAAAAGAGGTGAGAGAGGACCAGGCAACATGAAGCCTCAACACAGGCTGAGACGGTAGGTCCAGTGTCCCGGGGGAATGGTAAGCAGGGTATGCCAGGTGACCAGTTGCAGCCTCCCAAGCCTGAAGATTAACTAAAACCATTTAATTATAACAACTATGGAACAAAGGCCAGAGCTAGCTGACCCTCTGGATCTCATGGCTTGTTTCTGACCATCTTCCAACACTCACCTGGCCACATTTTACCTTGTCCTGGGAGAGATGAGAAAAGTCATTTGGAGCCTCTTTCAAAAGAACTGCCAAGGAAGAATGTCCAAGCACAGGTGCTTACCACCCAGAAGGGAAGTAAGTTACGTGAGAGTAAATCAGCTCAGAGCAGGACACGACACAGGAAGAAAAAACACCATACATACACACAAGCATATACCCTATACACATAGGCACACATATAGGCATATGCACATATCTGCACGTGAACACACATGCATCATGAGTTACAGGTAAGAGAGGAAAGACCAATGCCAGCAGACATATACCCTAAACATGTAGGACCTGAAAACTCCATACAAAGCAGGTTTACATACAACCTCCTACACATTTCTAAATCTATGGCCCCTGTGCCCACCATAAAACATCTAGAAGTTTCCAGATTCTGCATTCACTCCTTCTGGGAAAAAGCTTCCCTAGTTTGCTTTTTGTTACTGTGATAAAATACCCTGATAAAACCAACCTAGGGGTAATTTTTATTTGTTTGTTTTTTATCTTACAATTCCAAATTATGTTCCATCATTTCAGTAAGGTCAAGGCAGGCAGGAACTAAAAACAGCTATTCACATCCAGAGTCAGGGAATGGTGCTGCCCAAATTCAGGGTGGGTCTTTCTACATCAAGTAATCTAACTAAGAAAATCTGTCACAGGCTTGCCCAAAGGCCAACCCAATTCAGATAATTCCTCATTGTGACTCCAGGTCATTCTAGGTTGTGACAAGTTGACAATGAAAACTGACCCTCACAACTGTCATCCTATCTACTTTATATCTGCTGGACATCAGGCAGCACTTCCTAGGCAAAAACTCCCAGGGGAACGGACTTAAAACCATAAACATGAAAGATATGATGCCCTGTCAATGTGCTGTCTTTGAGAGTTTAATACTTTGGTATCCACAGAGGAGTAGACCCAAGACCTCTATTCACAGTAAAGTCCTCAGATGTTCAAGTTCTTAAATAGAACCCCCACACTTCCTGCCTTACACTTAAATCATCTCCACATTACTTATAATACCTAACTGCTGAGATCTCAGCAGTTAAGAGTGCTTGCTGCTCTTGTAGAGGTCCAGAGTTCAGGTCCCAGCACCATGTCAAGCTACTCACAACCACCTGTGACTATAGCGCTAGAAGATCTAATTCCTTCAAGCCTCAGCAGGTACCCACACATACACATGCATATATATATAAATTAAAAAATATTTAAAAAATAAATTGGACATAGTGGCATGTACCTTTAATTCCAAGAATTGGGAGGCAGAAACAGGCAGATGTCTATGAATTCAAGGCCATCTGGTCTACATAGTAAGTTCCAAAAACAAACAAACAAATAAATAAATAATAAAAATAAGCAAAATAAAATAAAAGTTACAAATTTTCTAATTTTTAACCCCTCATTGAAATTAAACATCCTAACTTGCTGTTCCTTCTGTCTCATTTTCCATCTTAATGTAACATTTGAATTTACTTCATGTCAACTTCTTAAAAATTATCAGGGAAAAAAGGGTGCAAATACTTACAAAATCTCACAGAAAAGGAATAGAGTAATTTCCCCACTGTATTTGAATAGCCAGTCTGACTATGAAATGGAAGTAAGTTCTATGCCACTCACCTGGGGGAGGTATCCACAGCATGTCACTACATCAAACCCAAACTGGTCCACAAAGAGCCGTTCTTCCTGTCCACTTCCTTTTCCTTTTATACAAAAGGAAACAAAGAAAGGTGACTAGCTTGTCCCCTTGTTCCAAGAGACCCTCGGCCCACTCTGGGAGCTTAGAGTTGTTGCTTTGCAGTCAATATGCCCTTACTGCCTCATGCTTGCACCTAGAGATAAGCAAGACCCCTCAGATCACTCAGAACAGCATCTGCTTTAGCAGACTTAATTATGGTGGTTATTTTATTTGTACTGAAAAGTGATTTTAATAACGTGACAAGAATCCATTAAAAACCGCTTGGCTTGGCTTGGTGGCAGGTCCAGTTTCCAGCCTGAGTGGCCCTAGCTCGGGCCCAGCTCGGGCCCAGGTCGGCTTGGCCTCAGGCCGGACTGACTGTAGCCCTAAGCTGTTGCACGCAGTTGGAGCTACTTGCTTAAAGCTGGTGCTACAAACAACTCAGGCCTGCCCTGCCGAACAGGGCCCCTGCCTGTAAAGCCAACGCACGTGGTCGGAGCTTAAGGAAGCCAGAGCCAAGCCTTGACTCGACTCAAGCGGGAACACGTGGCTGGATAGCCAGAACTTGTGGCTACGCTTTCTCGCTCGCTCTCCTCTCTCTCTCTCTCTCTCTCTCTCTCTCTCTCTCTCTCTCTCTCTCTCTTTCTCTCTCTCTCTCTCTCCACACCTCAGACACTAGGTGGCTGTTTTGAAATTCCCTCGGATTTCTACTGTTCTACGCAGACTTGGTAAGTCAAATAAGATATCAAATATTTTAAAGGAAACTATTTAAAAGAGAATTTTTTCCACATTAAAAAAAAAGGGTTTTATGTGTACATTGGAAGAAAATTGGGCTTTGTTTGAAATTTTAGGCAGTCTGACAATGGAACAACTATATGAGAAGATTAATATTGATCGAATTATGCAGTTTATTACTTTTCATATCCTCATTTTACTATTCAAAAAGATAGTTAATTTAAGTGCCAGGATAACAGTTTTAGAAAAACCTGTTAAACCTGTAAAAATGAATTATAGAGAAATTCAAATTCAGACAAAAGAAATTAACAGTGAAGTTGTTTCAAAATTGGATCATAAGGTTATAGAAAGAAAGCCTGTTTTCACACAATCACCCTTAATTTATCCTGTAGCCGTAGAGCAGCTACCTGGTGAAGAGAATAGAAAACTACTTGGATTCCAATTGAAATGTTAGACTTATGAAGATTTAAGGAGGCAATAGCATCTTATGGCATGCATTCCCCATATGTAAAGCAAATGTTAAACACCTGGTCAACTTATAATAGGATTCTACCACAGGACTGGCGGGAGCTTGCACAGGCTGTTCTAGAACCTGGACAAAATCTGCAGTGGAAATTGTGGTTCAAGAATGAGGCTAAAAATATAGAAAAACAATGGAGGGATAAAGGAACACAAGTCTGCCAGGATCAGCTTATTGGAGAAGGCCAATATGCTTCAGTACAAACACAATGTTTATATGATGTCCAAACCCTAATTCTATGTTGAATGGCAGCCTTGAATGCATGGGACAGAGTTGAGGAACCAGGAAAAAAAACTGAGTCATTTACAAAGGTTATACAGGACCCAAAAGAATCTTTCACAGATTTCTTACAAAGACTGACTTCAGCAGTAAAGAGAATGGTTCTGAATTCAGAAGCCAGTCAGATAATAATCGAATCTTTGGCTTTTGAGAACGCAAATGCAGTGTGCAAGAGAATAATCAGGCCATTAAAGGCAAGATCTGCACCCTTGGAAGATTGGATTAGAGACACGGTTAATGTTGAGGCTCATGACCATGATGATATGTGGGTAGGAGAAGCAATTTCAAAAGGTTTGAGCAATGTTAGATGTTTTGGATGTGGAAAGCAAGGACATTTGAAAAGGGACTGTAGACAGGTCATTTCTAGAAACAATGTTTCTTCAAGGAACACTGGTAACAGAATGCCCCTTCCTTCTGGAGTATGCAGAAGGTGTGGTAAGGGAAAACACTGGACCAACGAATGTAGATCAACAAGGGACAGACAAGGTAACCCTTTGCCTCGGGCTTCGGGAAACTCCCAGAGGGGCCTCAGGCAGGCCCCCACAGTAAATCCAGTTCAAACCTTTCCTGCAGTTGTAGAGGAAACCCCTACTCAGAGCAATTACATAACCAAATGCCTATTGGAATAAATCATGCTGGTCAGGATGATGAAACAGAGAGAATAGAAAATTCAGGAAAAAACATAAAGAAAATTTTTTGGCAAACTTCTATTAATGAACAAAGACCAAAATTAACAATAAAAATAAATGGTGTTTTGTTGTCTGGTCTGGTAGACACAGGTGCGGACATTGCCATAATTGCACCAGAATTTTGGCATCCAACCTGCCCTCTTAGGAATTGGGACATTATCTTGAGTGAAACAGAGTGCAAGATGGCTTGAATGTATAGGTCCAGAAGGACAGAGAGGAAAATTAAAACCATATATGGCTAACATAGCTATGAACCTGTGGGGTCGAGACTTGTTGCAACAATGGAATACTCAGATTAACATCCCTCCAATCTCAGAAACAAATCATAAACTAGCACATGTTTCTGAGAGAAATATTAGAAGGCATTATTCTGAGTGGTCACCAGCCATCCATATTATACAAGAACAGGGCACAACAACTGATGATCTCCCAAAGACACCAACAGCTCTACCTTTAAAATGGTTAACAGACAAGCCTGTATGGGTTCAGCAATGGCCTTTAACAACGGAGAAACTCCAGGCTTTAGAAGAGCTGGTAGAAGAAGAGTTAAATGCTCAGCATATTGAAGAATCAACCAGCCCTTGGAATTCTCCTGTATTTGCTATTAAAAAGAAATCTGGTAAGTGGAGAATGGTTGTAGAAAGCTGTGCATGGCCGTGCCTCAAAGATGTCGCCGGCTTCCGCCTTCCCGATGGCAGGTGTTCTCTGGGATAAACAACTCCTTATTTGGCTTGGGCGTGGAATCTGGCTTGCTTGCGTATGTCTGACCCTATCGGCATTGTCCACGTGGCACTACGGGGTTGGTTGCCCAGTGGCTATAAAGGGCGTGGGCTGGCTTTCCCCAGGGTCAGAAGATTGTTCAAGGTTCCTGAATAAACTGCTTGGAGAAGAGCCTGGTGTTGCGCAGACGCGACAAATGGTAACAGACCTTAGAGCAATTAACAAAGTAATTCAACCAATGGGCTCTCTACAATCTGGAATTCCTTTGCCTACTCTGTTACCAAAAGGATGGCCTCTCATAGTTATTGATTTAAAAGACTGTTTCATTTCAATACCCTTACAAGAAAAAGACAGAGAAAGATTTGTTTTCACAGTGCCTACTTATAGTTCTCAACCAGTTAAAAGATTTCAATGGAGGGTCCTCCCACAGGGAATGTTGAATAGCCCAACTCTGTGTCAATATTTTGTACAACAGCCATTGGAAGTGATACGTAAAAAATTTTTTGGGAGAAATTAACAGCAAATATCCCAAAAGCGATAGAATTGATCTTATAAAGAGAGCTGATTGGATCTTGCCTCGAATTGTACGGGAAAAACCCATATCTGGAGTTCATACATTTTATACAGATGCCAACAAACAAGGAAAGGCAGGTTACAAATCAGAAAATTTAAGTAAAGTGGTTCAAAGTCCTTATAATTCAGTTCAAAAATCAGAATTGTATGCTATTCTGTTGGTATTAATGGATTTTTTCAGAACCTCTCAACATAGTAACTGACTCTCAGTATGCTGAAAGAGTAGTATTACATATTGAGACTGCAGAATTTATCTCTGATGCTTTAGAATTAACTTCACTATTTATTCAATTACAACATAAATCAGGAAAAGGAGTCATCCTTTATATATAACTCACATTCGATCCCATACTGGTTGGCCAGGCCCTCTAGCACAAGGCAATGATGAGATTGATAAATTATTGATAGGAAATGTGCTGGAGGCCTCAGAATTTCATAAAAAAAACATCATGTCAATAATAAAGGTTTAAAAAAGGATTTTTCCATAACCTGGCAACAAGCCAAAGAAATAGTAAAGAAATGTCCTACTTGTTCCTTCTACAATCAAATGCCATTACCAGCAGGATGTAACCCAAAGGGTACTCAGAGGAATGAAATCTGGCAGATGGACATGTTTCACTTTGCAGAATTTGGAAACTTGAAATATGTACACCATACCATTGATACTTATTCAGGATTTCAATGGGCAACTGCTTTGAGTTCTGAAAAAGCTGATTCTGTAATCACTCATTTGCTAGAAGTTATGGCCATCATGGGTATACCTGCACAAATCAAAACTGACAATGCTCCATCATATGTCTCTGTTAAAATGAAATAGTTTTTTGCTTATTACAATATAAAGCATATTACAGGTCAAGCAGTTATAGAAAGAGCAAACAGAACTCTAAAGGATATGCTAAATAAACAGAAAGGGGTAACAAAAAACCCCAGGAATAGACTGCATAATGCTCTATTAACTTTGAATTTTCTCAATGCCAATGAGAAAGGAACAACAGCTGCAGAAAGACATTGGATAATAGAAAAAACTACAGAATTAAATCAGCCTATATACTTTAAGGATGTGCTGACCTCAGAATGGAAACCAGGATATGTGTTATGCTGGGGACAAGGTTTTGCTTTTGTTTCTACAGGAGAAGATAAGCTGTGGGTACCATCAAAATTGATAAAGGTTCGATTTGAACAAGAGAGACCTCTTAATTAGAGGAGGTGATAGTTCATAAACCAGCATGAACATCCAATTTAAACTAACTTATATCAGTAACACATGCCTTTTCATTTAATCAGATAATAACTTGCCAAAAAGGAACATCCCCAAAATTAGTCTTGGGGAAAGGTTTTTGTTTTTGTCTTTTAGGAGAATGAAGGCTAAGGAATCTGAAGAACATTGGACAAATGAGACAAGTGAGGAAAAAGGACAAATCATCTATCCCAGGAAACAGAGTAAAATGGCCTATTGGTATATCATCTATAAAATTTTATAAGTTTTCCTAAATGTTTGTTTCTGCTCTTCTCTAAAAATTTAACACTATTGGTCTTCTAATAGTCCCAGTTCAATTAAAATTTAAAGCTGACTTCGGAGTTGGAGAATGGCTCTCTCCTTCTTTAAACTCAAGCATGTTGTTAAAAGGAAAATGCAAACTCCCTGTATCATGCCAGAAGAAAAGAGCCATCTTCTGCTATGGGACAGGAGAAAAACCAAATTAATTAAGGGACTATTCTATTACTAATCTCAACTCTTTGATTCTATTCTGATTCTTTAAACTTTTCTTAAAGTATGAATTTTATATCAAAATTTACAAGATTAATATATATATATATATATATATATATAGAGAGAGAGAGAGAGAGAGAGATACATTTTAAACTTTGTTAAGATATGAATGGTCATATAGAGTACTAACTAATTCTAGAAAGAAAAAAGGCTTCAATTAGCTGCATATATATGTCTTTGTGTTCGAGTCTCTTATCAGTTTTCTGCAGGAAGTCACGGCCAGGCCTAATATCAACTGAAGTCTCCAGGAAGAAGATGGGGCCCCACAATAACAACAATTCCACGTGGACAATAATAATATCATTAAGCTGACAAACATCATCTACAAAGTGCTACAAAGTGCTCAGAGCAATTTTGAGATGGCTACCTGAGATGATCTAGTTTCAAAGACTACTTGAATAAGGACTTGAGATAAACCCTGAACTTTGTCATTATACACAGACTGGATAATGAAGGATATAGTTACCTTTCCTAGAATTTGACAATTAACCTAAAATTTTTCTTTCAGGATAAAGATAACTTCGCCCATACCCAGCAGGAAGCAATTTTTAAGAATATGATGCTCACATTTCCAAAGAGGTGGTGTGGGGCGGGTGGTTTTTTGGTCTTTTTAATGGGTTTTGGGTCTGGGATAATTTTCATTGTTTAGGGGGGTTGGTTACAAGTTGTTGTCAAGGGTTAGGAAAAAGGCTAAGCAAAGGAGATTAGATTTAAGGTTCTTGTTTAAAAAAAGAAAAGAAAAGAAAAAGACAATTACTAGTTTTAAATACTTTACATTGGATTGGATTGTTTTATATTGGATACAAATTATATATATTGAAATTGATATTGTTAGAAAATGCTATATGTATATTTCTAACTGTATTTATACCGTTCATTTAACAATGTAATACAATTTTCTGATCCTTGAATGTTATTATTACCAACTATTAGGATATAAAGAAATGAAAGTTAGTAGTTAGACATTATAATAGAACTTGTAGTCATATTAGGTATGTTTTTAAAAATTGAACAGATATATTTTTAGATAGACAGGTCATCTTCAAACCCTTCAGAGATCTACAGAATATGGCATTCAAAATGTTTTAATAACTTAGAAAATTTTTCTTTTTTGTTATGACTATGAGACATGTCGGCTCCTGGCAGTACCAATCTACTTCAGAGAAAATATGGGCATTGAAGAAACTGCATATGGAGTTAACTTTCATTGTGGCAAAAGTTAGCCACTGGACAACAAAGTATCCTCGAATCAACAGGACAAAATGGACAGACAGGACATGAAACAAAGGACTACCGATTCTTGCCAAAACAAGTGTGGTTATGGCTTTATCAAAAGGCATCTTCTGAGGCCAGGACAATATGGCACCATCCCTGAAGTGGCCTTCGCAATTCGGAAAAGGTACAGTGCCCTTTTCTTTGAAGACAGCTGAACAGACAGTGAGCCGATGGCTTCTGATGTGCAATGGAACAGCAGCTGAAACAGTTATTCTTGAAGAGTAACTAAGCTCACGCCTCTCAATAGTAAACTGGCATTTGATAGAGGGATGTGGAGAAGAACGGGATGCTGAGATGAAGCCACATATACACAGCCAAGAAGGATGGACAGCTGAATTAAAAAAAAATCAACAATTTCCAGAACTTAAAATCCTGAATCATGACAGGACACTAGTGCAATTCAGGTGTTTCTGGTACATGGACTGCTCTCACCCAATGTGCGGTTGAACTGTTGACCTTGTGTACATCCTACTTCACAAATGAGTCTGTCAGACACACAAAGCCTATAGGCTGAAGATGATGCCCCAATACTGCGGAGAAACCTCAGGTGAATGTCCAGGCAGCTGGCTGTTTCTGTCAACTCACAAATTTTTTGGAAATTGCTTGCATGTACTTCCTGTTTTTATTTTTTATTAGGTTATATTATTTTCCTTCTTGGATCTCTGAGGGAGTTGAAGATTAGTTAGTTATAGTTGAAGACTAGTTAGGATAGAAAGTAAATTAGGTACATTTTGGACTTACCAAAATAGGATAGATAATGGAATTATTTTCTCTAAATTTGTCAAATACAAATGGACTAGACATTGTTTAGGTATTTATTACTTGTATATATTGTATATAGTTATTATACTTTTGTATATAGTTTTTCTTATGTTAGTTATAACCTTTTTTCTTTTTATTAAAATAGAAAAGGGGAAATATGGTGGTATTTTACTTGTACTGAAATGTGATTTTATTTGTATGTTAATAAATAAAGTTGCCCAGGGGTCAGAGCTATTAGAGCCATAGCAAAAGCTGGGCGTTGGTGGTGCACACCTTTAATCCCAGCACTTGGTAGGCAGAGCTAGGTAGATCTCTGTGTGTTCAAGGATACAGCCAGCATTGGAGACACATGCCTTTAATCTCAATACCATAGAAGACCTGGAGGTCTGTATAGACAGGCAGTGACGAGGCAGTCATGTGGTTGGTTTTACAACCAATGAGAAGGCAGAACGAAAGTCTATATAAAGACAAACAGACAGGAAGTAGGTCTCTTTCGGAGAGATCTCTTGGCTGAAGAGGCTAGCTGCAGCAGTCGGGTAAGGCTCTTAGCTCTGATCTCTTGGCTTTCGTCTTTGCATTGGCCCTGTTTCTTATTTAATAAGACGGTTGATTACATCTACACTTAATACCCAAGGACACTAGCTATTCCAGAAGCAGAACCAAGTACCAGAGGATGCATGGGGATGGAGGGATATATAACAGTGTCAAACATACATCAGGAAAGGAGGTTTTTCAGTGGCCAATGTAGTTCCATTTTTGACAGATAAAACTATTATACTTGCTGGGTGATGGTGGCACACACCTTGAATCTTAGTACTAGGGTTGCAGAGACAAGCAGACCTCTGTCAGTTCAAGGCCAGCCTGGTCTACAGATCGAGTTCCAAGATAGCCAAAGCTACACAGAGAAACCCTGTCTCAAAAAACAAACAAAAACTTATTATACTTTGGAATGGCCTCAACCTCATGTGTCTCCCCAAACTCAAGAAAATCTCAACAAATGAATTCTGTGCAGCTTGGAAACAACAGGAAAGCCAGTTAACAGGGCCTATTAGGAGATCCTCACAAGACAAGGAGACAGGCTGGTGGTACTGCCAGTATATCATCACAGGATGGGCAGGCTACCAGGACCATCAGCAGAACTATACACAGTAGCTTCTGGATTATCTGTTTTCTGACTATCAGCTATTCTGTCTAGCACATGAGGTACACGTGAATTATCAACTATCAGCCTGAAAATACTGGGAAATTCTCTCAATGCTAACACCATACTTTGTTCTAGATGGGCGGCATTAGGGCTGCCATTCTGAGTCTCAAGAATGGTATGTACATGGAAGAGAAGACAATGTGTTTAAAGAAGTCACTTTATATTGAAAGCCTAAACAACTTTGATTAGACTTCCTTCTGGAGAGTTAGACGTAAAGCAACTGTAACATCACATAGCTTCAAGTCCAGTGATACTTCCTGTTTTCAGTATGTCTAAGACACATTGTGCCAATCATATGCGTCTGTGTTCACTACACTGCAAATGTGCAGCCTTAGGGTGACCATGCTTGCTTTGGCATCAACACAGGCTACAGCATTACCCCATCCCTGAGCCCATGCTGGCTGAAGGCCCTTCTCCAGACAGGGTCCCTTATGGCTCACGCAGTCCCTTACCCACAGTGCCAGCCTCCTTCAGGAGCTGCTCTCCAAGCTTCTTGTTCTCAAGGTGTAGATCTGCAAGCTGGGCCCCAAGCTTGGCGGCATGACTAAAACCAAAATGCAGACACTAAACAGATGACACACAAATAGCAGATCCATCTGAAAGATCTCAAGGCACATAAAGCAGGTCAAACATTGAGTATGAAGTTCATCATACTGGAGGCTGGAGAGATGACTCAGTGGTTAAGAGCACTGATGGTTCCTCTAGAGGACCAGGGTTCAATTCCCAGCACCCACGTGGCAGCTCACAATTGTCCAGATGGATTCAGTTCCAGGGACCTATCACACCAGGCATGCATGTGGTGCACATATTTGTGCTGTGCATGCAGGCAAAATACCCATACACATAAAATAAAATACATAAATCTTTTTTTTTTTAAAGTTAATTCTATTGAAATAAGAGGAGAACTAGGTGTGGTGGCACAATAGCAAGAATCCTAGGAAGGAGGAGGAAGGAGGATTAAGACTCAGCTGCACGAGACCCTGTTTCAAAAATAGACAAAATCGAAACAGGAGGTTCTCATTATTTGACCACCTTTCCTAGGCTTCGCAATGAGTCTCTGTGATCATCTCACTTTGAGAGAGTGCTCTCTCTGGCTTTTAGTTGACAGAGAGTGCTATGAACCATCATCTATGCAGTCATGGTCCTTTACACCACACCTCGAAGTCATGCCCCCAAATACAAGATTCCAAAAAAAAGAACCACACGGGAAAAATAAAGCCTTTGCTTTTAACCAGAAAGGATGACATCAAGACAGACCTGCTCAGATACCGCATATCCAAATGCTCCATCACCAGCATACTCCCACCTCCTGGGGCATCGAGAACCTTGATAGGCTTAGGTACTTTCACTGTCTCTGTCTTCATGATGGCAGTTAAACTTGCCATTTCACCTTCAAACATTCTTTTAGCCTGTCAGTAAAACAATGGAGGAGACGACCAAGGTCACCAAAGAAAGACTATTTAGACATGCTTTCTTCTGGCATTACAATTCAAACCACATTTACGCTAGACAGAGGACTCAACAGAAACAGACAGTGTTTTCAGGGTACTCATCAGAAAATTAGGCTGTAAATGCCAAAGTAACACAGGTATAAGCAAGCTTGAATTTCCCAGTTTGGGACTGAATTGTTTGTTTGTTTGTTTTTGTTTTTTTGAGACAGTTTCTCTGTGTAGCCCTGCCTGTCCTGGAACTTACCCTGTAGACCAGGCTGGCCTCAAACTCAGAGTCACCTGCCTCTGCCTCCCGAGTGCTGGGGTTAAAGGTGTGCATCACCACTGCTCCGCTGGGACTGCGTTTTGTTTGGTTGGTTTTGTTTGGCTGCCCTGGAACTGGCTATGTAGACCAGCTGGCCTCGAACTCATTGAGAACCACCTGCTTCTGCCTCCCACATGTGCCAATCACCACCATCAAGATCAAGAATCCAGATACCAAGAGGAATTCTACTTCTCACCCACAGCCACTGTCCACCCCCAGAACAGCTGTCTCTAGCCCGGCTTCTCCTAGTAAAGAGCTGTTCTGCCAGTTTGGTCACTCTTTTTGTGTTGCTGGGGTGGTTGTTGTTGTTTTATGAGACAGGGTTTTGCTATGTAGTCCATGCTGGTCTCAAACTCACAATCCTCCTGAGTGCTGCTTGATCATTTTACACAGAGTCATATGGGTTCTGGGGTCTGGTGTATTTGTTATACCTTCATCATGTGTACTACTTCACAGTGTGAACATACCAAATGTAATCACTACTGAACAGTGCTGCCACGGAAACTCTTCTACTTATTCTCATACTTACTACCTCTGTGATCTTGGGCAAGTTACTTAAGCTTTCTTTGCTTCAATTTCCTCACCTATAAAATGAGAGAATACTAAATTTCTTAGGCTTGGGCTATGATTAACTGAGTTAGCAGCTAACACACAGCCCATTCTAAACACTACAAATGTTACGATTACTCACTAACAGGCCAAAGTTTCTGAGAAGGAAGATAAGAACTATGTCCTAGATAGAACCTTCACAGAAATTTCTTTAGCATATGAAGAAGAAGCTAAACTTTGGCAAAGGTCCTGGTGATAGAGACTACTTTAAGAGGCAGCATTGAAAAAAAAATTCAGGAAAGGTTTAAAAAGAGACTGTGAAGCCATTAAGAAACAGAGCTCCTTTACAGACGTAATTTACTGCTTATGTGGTCTGAAAAAGCTAGCTACTCATGAACAGACCTATAGGAAAATTAAGCCTCAGTCGGACCATTGTGAAAACAAAACAAAATCTGGAAATAATCTAAAAATGAGATAAACCAATCACGTAGGAAAGTTCACAAGAGTCACATAAGAACAATCAAGTGGGGAAAAAAACTTAGACCAGGTGGGTCCTAGCAAGGCATAAGAAAGCAAATACAAGAGCAGCCAGGTAGTCTTAAAAGTCTTAACTCCTAGAAAGTAGAGCATGGAAGAGTTGGATTTCCAACACAACAGGTATATGTAGAATCAGCAGATGTTTACCGTATGGGCTGTATACCTGCATTGCTCATACTATATATTCCAGAACAAGCAAGAAAATTTTCAAAGAAAGAAAGGCTGAAAAATTGAAAATAGACTTTGAAGTGGAAATAACCCAGCAGGGGGCTGGAGCGAGATGACTTAGTGGTTAAAAGTGCATACTGCTCTTGTAGAGGTCCTGAGTCCAGTTCCTAACTCCCACATCAGGTAGGTCATAACCACCTGTAATTCCAGCGTCAGGAGGATCTGATGCCTCTGGTTTCCATGAGCACCACACTCACATCCCACACAACATATACACACACACATATCATCTTTAAAACTGAATAAATAAATCTTTTTTTTAAAAAAGAACGCAACAGTATATGCTGACTAACGTGTAATTCTACCACTTGAGAGGCTGAGGATTCCATAGTAAGTTCCAGACTAGCCTGGGCTACATGTAGATTGAAACTGTGTCTTTAAAAACAAAACAAAACAAAATTAAAAAAAAAAAAAAACACAACCACTTCCTGAGAGAGAGAATGCAGGTTCACAGATCGGAATTGAACTCAGGACCTCTGCAAGGCAAATCCGAGTTTGAGGCCAGCCTGTAGAAAATGAAGAAGGACATCACTGTCACACTAAGTCCTGGCACTGAGGATAAGTTAGTGCAAGAGTAACTTCAAGGACAGTTGACAGAGTTCAATGAACTGATGTCTGTAGGTAGGGGGTTGAAGGCAAGTCTCAAGAAAATAATTTCAAAGGTTGACACACATGTGAAAGGCAGGATTCCTTTCTTGAAAGAAAACTGAACACAAATGCAAGACAGGCTTGTGGCTAATGTAACCCCAGCATTCAAGAGGCTGAAACAAGAAGATTGAGTTTGGAGGTCAGCCTTGGTTACAGAAACCAATTCTAAGAAAATAAAAAAGCACTTTGAGTGTGTATGAGGTGTAGGGCTTGGCAAGAAGATAAAACACCTTCAGTCTTATTCAAAAAGACATTGCCAAGTCCTACGGAAGCCGTCCACCTCTCTTCCAGCGAAGCCCTGAATGAACAGCTTTCAATGACAAAGGGATAACAACCACCAGGGACACAACTGAAGCAGTGGGGCTCGCCCTACGGAAACAATAGGGCATTTTGGGAAAAGTTCGCACACAAACAGAACGTGGTGGGGTGAGTGCATTGTTTGATACTTTAAGATCTTTGATTTGTGAGCTTTAGTCTCTTCGAGTTGAAATAAGCTCCAGATAAATGCGGGTACTCTGACGTTTCTCAAAACTCGCCAAACATAAGGCTTTTCTCAAAGAAGTGGGCACTGCAATCTCAGAATACCACGCGCAGCACCCGTGTAGCCACTGCCGCCAGAGCAGGCAAAGGCAGGGAGGCCCAAGGCCAGAGTGAGACCGCCGGGGTATGGCGGTCACGCGTGGACAGCGGTCAGACGGAGCCTATCGCTATAGACTGGGCCTCTAGAGCTACCCACCAAGGACCTAGACCCAGAGTTAGAATCCCGGCCGGCTCGGGATCTCAGCACACACCCTAGACCCAAACCAGGCCCCCATTTCAGCCCCGGGCCAAGGAGCGGGACCCTAACCCAGCGCCGGCGGCCCTACCTCTGCCTTGGAGTTCACTTTCACAAACACTCGTCCTCTGTCCGTATCGTAACTCTGGCCCTGGCTAATGCACCCGCCTCCCGAGTGACCCGTAGCTTTGACTGAGCTGTATCCCAGCTCCTGCTTAAGCAGCGTCTCCATGATAGTTGACGGACAGCAACCTGCTTCAGGCCTGAAGCAGAAGCGGGTTTAGCGGTGGGGCGGGGCAGACACAGGCCAGTGACGGGATTGGGTGACAAGAAGGAAGGGGCGGGGAAATAATCAGGGGGCGGGTCCGCGCCAAGACTGCGTCACCGTGGAGGGGCGGCACCTGACTGGTTAGGACTGGGTGAGAGGCAGGGCCACACCCCAGGTTCACTCCCGCCGCTTAGGCGTCAGGAGCTGGGGAAATGGGTAAGGATCCTGGCCTGGAGTTATTGGCGTGCTAACATCTTAATTCAAACTGCTTCAGAACAGTTCCCAGTCAGCTGTAAAGACAGAGGGAGGTTGCTCCCGCCTCCGGACTCTACCCAACCCAGCAGAACTGTCCGTGAAACCGTTTGTGAGGTGAGGCTGAGCCACTAGGGTTCTGCAGAGGGTGATGTAATACCTTCTCAGACTGTGCTGCCCATGTCATTTCCCTGGTCGACAGGCCTGCCCCCCTATGGGAGACACGGAGGCCCTTGTGTTCACAGATAAGCACAAGAGGAATCAGGAATGTTAAACACACAGGGTTGTTCCTTCAAAGGAAGGGATGCATAACCTGTGAGCAGGTGGATCTCCATGAGTTCCAGGCCAGCCTGGTCTACAGAGTGAGATCCAGGACAGGCACCAAAACTAAACAGAGAAACCCTATCTCAAACAACAACAACAACAACAACAAAAAAAAAAAACCCAAAAAATTTAAAGGTAGGTTTTGTTGTATTTTGTTTTTAGTAAAGATAAGTAACAGTATTGAAGTTGATGGGTTCAAGGTGACTGTAGCTGAAGTTTTTCTGTGTCCCACCTGGCCCATGGTCAGGACAAATCTCTCTCACCCACCAGTCCTGCAGATGCTTGGACCCAAGTAAACACACAGAGGCTTATATTAATTAAAACTGCTCAGCCATTAGCTCAGGCCTACCACTGACTAGCTCTTACATTTAAACTAACCCATAATTCTTATTTATGTTTAGCCACGTGGCTTGGTACCTTTTCTCAGTTCTGCCTTCACATCTTGCTTCCTCTGTGTCTGGCTGGTGACTCCTGACTCAGCCTTCCTCTTCCCAGAATTCTCCTCTCTTCTTGTCCTGCCTATACTTCCTGCCTGGCTACTGGCCAATCAGCATTTTATTTATTAACCAAATCAGAGTAACACACATTCACAGCATACAGAAAGATATCCACAGCAGGTGACCATGTAGAGGAAGAACAACTTCCCCATAAATTTAGGACTCCAAAAGGCTACACAAGTAACAAGAAGGTACAGTGCAAGCAAGTCTGGACCTGGCGACTATGAGGCCTTACCCTTGAACAAAGTGGTGGTGGTACTGGTAGAAGTCATTCCTGTCTGATCTTGATTAGATTTGCAACCCAAATTCATATTACTTAGATTATTCTATTAATACACAAGCTTTAAGCAAATGGGGAATGTAGGCATTGAAAGAATGAAACATTAGATCTCCTGAGCAATACACCTTTCCTTTGCCATCATGGAAATCCTTTACATAATTCAAGGATAATAGAGTCAAAAGTGATGGGGTGACTGGGCATGGTGGTACACTCCTTTAATCTCAATATTTAGGATCTGAAGCTGGGGGATTGCAGTAAGCTGAAGGCCAGCTCAAGAATCCTCCTGTCCCTACCTCCCAAGTGCTGGGATTACAGGAGAGTGCCAACATGCCCAAATTGGAGTGTTTGTTATTATTAAGCAGAATATTATATGCTGGTTGCCAGTCCCAGAGGAGGACACTAAACACTTCTGCCCTTTTTTCTTGATATCAGAGTCATGAGGGGCAAGACATCATGGTTGAGCACTAGATGAAGCAATGTTTCACCTACACAGAAAAGGGAGAGACTTCAACTTCAGGAGCATGTGTTTGTCCCTGTTAGCCAGCAGGTCCCACCACAGCAGCAAACCTAGAGCAACTGGCTATGTACACCATTCTTGTCCTGCTTTGGTAAACTTGCTCTGTCCCCAGTTTGTAGAAGACAGATGTTGGATTTATGCAAGTGTCATGGAACAAACATGTATAAGCAGAATAAAGGAGCTAACCCTGGGCTTTCCAAAGAGATATTCTGGCACAAAGTGATAAACCCAGAACGATCCCTGTATTCCAGGCCCAGGGTCCATTCCTGCTGTGGGATGTCTTTCTGTATGCTGTGAATAATATGTGTTGTTCCCATTGGCTAATAAATAAAGCAGCTTTGGCCTATGGCAAGGCAGCTTAGAGGCAGAGATACAGGGATGGTGCTTTAAGGATGTAATTAAAGTTAGAATGAACACATGGAGTGGGGCCATAATCCAAGAGGACGGCTGAGTGACTCCATAAATAGAGACAAAAGCTTACTCTCACTGTGTCTCTGCATACATCAAGAACAAGCCATGGCAAAACATCAGGAAGTCAGTTTTCTTCGGACCAGAAACAGGACAGTCCTTACCAACCCTACTGTCACTCAAACATCCAGCCTCAAGAATTATGAAGATAAACTTTCTGTTGTTTAAACCTGGCAGGAGTATGGCATCCCAAGTCAACTAACACACCAATGAAGCAAAGATTGAGTATATCTTGAGTGTACTAGAAGCAACAGCAGGTGATGGATAAAGACAGGTGCTGGCATTATCAGATGTACATAATGGGACAGTTAGGCCTTTAATGTTAAAAAAGGAAAAATCAGGGGCTTAATAGATTGCTCAATTGTTAAGAGCACTTGCTGTCCTTTCAGAGAACTCAGGTTCAGTTCCCAGTACCCATATGACAACACATAACTGCCTGTAATCCGAATTCCAAGGGATCTACCCCTCTTCTGGCCTCCATGCATATGGTTCATATACATTCATTAAAGAAAACACTCATACACATACAATAAATATTTTTAAAGCCAGACTTGAAAATATATATAGGGAAGAAGAAAGTGCCAAAGACTTGGAACAAATGATGAAAAAGAAATTTGTTTAAGTTAAAAACAATATTTGCATAATAAAATATTGAGGTGGGGGCAGACTGTTTAACATTGGGTGTCCTGGAACTGTCTGTGTAGACTAAGCTGGCCTCAAACTCACAGAGATCCACCTGCCTCTGCTTCTGAGTGCTGGCATTAGAGGCATGTGCTACCATGCCCCACTCCAGAGTGAAATCTGTTTGTTTTGATTTTTGGTCTTTTGGGGTTTTTTGTTGTTGTTTGTTGTTGTTTTTCAATACAAGGTTTCTCTGCGTAGCTATCCTAGAATTCATTCTGTAGACCAGGCTGGCCTCAAACTGAGAGATCTGCCTGCCTCTGCCTCCTGAGTGCTGGGATTAAAATTATATGCCACCACTGCCTAGCTCAGAGTGAAATCTTATTAGACTTATATGTAGATTAAACACAGAATGAGGAGAGAATCCCTAAATAAGGGGCCAGAAAAATTACTGATACTGTGGCATAGAGAAACTAAAAGGGAAATTGTGGGAGAGGTTAAGAGACATGAAGAACAAAGCCAGAATGGTCTACAGAGCAAGATCCAGGACAGGCACCAAAACTACACAGAGAAACCCTGTCTTGAAAAAACAACAACAAAAAAGAGACATGAAGAACAGAGCAAGAAGTTTTAGTAAAAATTTAAGTGGGCTTCCAGAAAAGGGAAGGAAGACACTAAGTGCAAATGACTGACATGGAATGGGAAGCAGGTCAGGCATGTGGAGCCGTGGGAACAGCCTCAAGGCCACGTGTACACCATTGCCTTAATAACAGGTCAGATGAGTCTATTTGGAGATGGCCTTAAATGTAACATGACATCCAGTGGCCAGAGAAAAATAATGAGTCCTAAGCCTGAACTTACTAAAGAATAGAAAGGGGAAATCGAGAAGCTTTTGGTCTCGTTGATTCTGATGGAACTGGAACTATTGACATCAAGGCTTTAAATCCAAGAAAGAAGAAATCAAGAAAACGACCAGTGAAATTGATAAGGAAGGGACAGAAAAAATGAACTCTGGTGACTTTTTGACAGTGATGGCTCAAAAAATGCCCCAGGAAGACACAAAAGAAGAAATCTTGAAAGCTCTCAAATTCTTCAGTGATGATGGAACTGGGAAAATATCATTTAAAAATCTGAAGTGTGTGGTCAAGGAGGTATTCTCTCTCTCTCTCCCTCTCTCTCCACTCTGTGTGTGTCTGTGTGTATCTGTGTGGGGGTATGTGCACAAGAGTGCCTATGCCTGTAGAAGCCAGAGGTGCTGGACGCTTCTGGAGCTGGAATTACAAACCTTCATACACCTTCAGAAGTGGGTACTGAGAAATGAAATGGAATAACTGCTGAGCCCTCTCTCTAGCCCCATAGAAACATTGTAAAGTAAATAAACGAAAAGATGCCCATTCTTAGACAAATAGCAGTGAAGTAATAAAATACCAAAAGCAAAAGAATTCTGTAATATGAATAGCAAAGATGTAAAAGAGGATTAACATCTGTTTTCCCTGGGAGCCAAAAGACAGTGGAATGATTGACTATAGTCAAAAGAAAATAACTTTCCCAGGGAAAATATGTTTCCAAGAATGAAATGAAATAAAAACATTTTTAAGCTGAGAGCTATTTGCCATCATGAAGTTAACTGCTTTTACTTTTAGTAATGTTTCCTACCACATTAAAAGAAAGCCTGAAGGAATTAGTACTCCCTTCTGACCCATGGATCCCAGGTCATGAGGCTCAGTGGCAGGTGTCTTTACCCACTGAACCATTTAGCCAGCCCTGGCTTCGTATTTATTGGCCTAGAACAGTGATTTATAACTGAGGTTCTCACTTTATAGCTTTCTATTAAATGGTACATATCGATATGATCATGCTCTTTCCCATGTGTATATTGTATTTCATCATTTTTTTTTTAAAGCAAAAGACCAGCCAGGTGATTAGTGGCAGTGCCACTTGCCTTTAATCCGAGCACTCAGGAGGCAGAGGCAGGCAGATCTCTAAGAGTCTGAGGCCAGCCTGGTCTACAGAGTGAGTTCCAGGACAGCCAGGGCTATACACAGAGAAAGCCTGT